CAAAGTCCACTAAAGGAGGTAGAGCTTTTTCGCATTTGGCTCCCAAACTCTGGAATAGCCTTCCTGATAACGTTCGGGGTTCAGACACACTCTCTCTGTTTAAATCTAGATTAAAGACACATCTCTTTGGCCAAGCATTCAAATAAAGCATTTCATAATCTTGTACTGCAGTTATATCTGATCGAATGCACATTGTTATTCTTTAGCTTGGGTTAAACAAATCAATTTTGCTTGATTGGAACAGCAGCTACGCTAATTATGTCTCTATTTGTTTCTCTGTTTTTGCCATGGGATTGACATCTAGGGGTAACTAGGATTTACACAAGCTTCAGTCTGTATCCAGAACACCTGAGAAGAGATGATGCCAAACCCTCAGAGGACCTCAGATGATGCCAACCCTGAAACAACATACAGAACTACCACATTTTGCTATAATTTTGAATGCATCATATAATAATTGCTGTTAATAGTGTCCATCGTCTGTTTTATTACGTCTTTAATTGATTTTTCCGTACATGTCTGCCATATGTACATTAACTGACAGTCACCACTGATAAGCTACTACTAAATATTGTAGAAACTTAATTTTCTGTAAAGTTGCTTTGCAACGATTTGTATCGTGAAAAGCGCTATACAAATAAATAAACTTGAACTTGAACATGTTTACTTGTGAATACGGAATGGCTGTTTCTGTAGCAATTTTTATCGGTTTATCTGTGTATATGTAAATACATGCCTCAGTGTATTCTCAGATCTGACTTGCTTTGATGCTATTCTCCTGCAGGGTGAACGGCAGGTAGACTATTTCACGCAAGCTTTTCAAACATGTCTGCACAGCACATATGCTGCTCATTTGCCTTCAATTTGCATGCCTTTTTAAAACTGGTACGCTTTAGCAACCGAAAGTCACCAAGTCATACATTTTCACTGTAAAAAGGAATAAACAACACACTGATATTTCTTGGTGGAAATGACCTTAAGAAAGAGAAATCCAGTGACATACCTTCATATACAGCCTTGAAACCTTGCGATCCAATCGTGTCATCGGACTGCAGATGGAGCCACATCTGGTTACTCATACTCACAATCAAATCAGGCACGCTGGATCCCGTGAGGCTAGAATAGAGGCACAAAATTGAAATTTATTCTTTGATTTGTGTGTTCGTATGGAGCTATGAAAGCATATACATAAACCCAGTGCCTATGTCATGAGGAGGTTGCTTTTGAAAGAAAACTGTTATTCCATGGGCATGAATAAGTAAGTCATGGAGGCATTTGTGAATAGAAGCATGTGTCTGTTCAAAGTTTAACATAAGAACCCTTTTTGCTCTACTCACACATAAAGGACTCTTCGAGCATCACCTATCTTCCCTCCGTCGCCCACTGTTAATGTATCGTATGCTCGCTCTAGATCAAACTCTTCAAAAGCCAGCTTGATGACCTACAGGAATGAAGGAGAGGTCATGACAAACACCATAGAGCAAAAAGCCCAGAGCAGAATGGGCCTATTCACATAAGGCAGAGAGTGATTGTATTAAAAGAAGAAGAAAAACACAACAGCAAGGCAAGCCAGTCGTCGCTCTCAATTCTTTTCCATGGCAACACATGTAAGGCTGATTGAAGAAGCAGAGATGAAGGTGCAATTAAATAATTTTGTTTAATTCAAGATATGTGAGACTTTGAGAAGTTCTGCCATGTGTGGTGCGAAGCCCGAGGAAACGGGATGCATGTTCATTTGATGTAAGCACAGAAAGGAAGGCGGCAGAAAGAACATTGTATTCAAGGAGAGATTGCTGGAAGGAGACGAAAAAAAATCAAACTTAATTAGGACAACCCTATTATCAACATCCTCGCATTTTTTTTCAAATGGTCCATTAAAGAGCCATTATTTTCATCCATATTCTGTCCCATCTTTAAATATGATTGGTGTAATTTTTTTCAATGTTACCTTCTACAATTCCATATTGAAGAGATAATTCACTCAGAAATGACAACTGTCTTCATTTACTCCCCCTCATGTTGTTCCAAAACCGTATGTCTTTCTTTCTTCAGTGGAACACAAAAGAAGATGTTATGCAGTATGACAGCCTCAGTCACCATTCGCTTAGTTTCAATGCTTTTTATTTTATTTTTTTTTAATACAATGAAAGTGAGAGGTAATTGAGACTGCCATTCCGCCTAGATTTTCCTTTTGGGTTCCACTGAAGAAAGAAAGTTTGGAATATTTTGAACATGAGAGTGAGTACAATTTATTTTATACTACTATTTTAATATGCAGGGAAATAAGCAATTTGTAAGTTGATTACTGTTATTCATAATATTTCCTACTTGAAAAAGTCACAGCACAGTGAGACATACAAATAAGTCATATTAACATTTTATAATTGCTACAGTGTCTATGGTCACCATTTTGTTTATTAATAGTAATAGAGCAAGCAAACTGACTGCATCCGCTTAAAAAGAAAGGAACGATTCAGGAACACTGAGAAGATCTTGACAAGCAATCTGTATAAAATGTCAGTGCTGATACAGAGACGTTTGGCGAGACCTTAAACTAAATCTAAAATACAGGCTTTTAAATTATCCTGTCAAAAGTAAAGATTCTTTTTTTCTTCTTTTTCTTACAGAAGACTTAGCAAGAGGATAAAAACAGCACTCATGGTCTACATAAACACAATCAGAGAGTGACAGGGCATCTTAGCGATTGTTCTCTGAACCAGCTTAAAAGAATGATTGATTTCTTTATTTTATACAAAACTAAAAAAGGCCTGACAGCTGCCTCAATGACTCTCCCTGAGTTTGAGAGAAGACGGCTCTCGGTGCTCTTCAGAAATTGCTAAATGGCGCGGGTTTATCGTGCATTTTTATTCATCCAGGAGGGGGGAAAACTGAGAAAGTATGACGTTTTTACAAATCACATTTAGTGTTGGTTACAACCAGCATTCCCTCTGAGCTGTGAGTTGTGTGGCAATGCACATCTGATCTCGCCACTGCACAAACCAACAAAATCCAGTCCAAAAATTGTGAATGACTACAGTTTGGGTCTATATGTCATGTTAATTTGGCTTTAAATATTTCTGGCCAAAAAGGAGGTCATTTACCGACATAAAGGCCTATTTGCACCACATCAAGCTTTTATTACAACACACATTTTCTAGAAAATTATTCAAATATGCAAGAGCAATAAAACAAATTGCAAACATAGTTACAAATTCTGCCTGAACATGTCTGCATTATGCATTAACATTACAAGGTTCATATCATTTTAGAAATATCATATTAATTTGCTCCAAAAACACTATACATAGCCCTATACATCAAAAAGCTACAAATTAAAATATTTATGAATGCTCCCAATACCCCTTAACCGCTACAGCTTAACTTTCAACCCTTCAAACCTAACAGCCCCATCTCCAAACTCAAAGGGAACACAAAATAGACCATAAATCGACACGCTTCATAAACAACAAAAAGGCTACAAATCTCCAGTGCCTATGATAAAAAGATATTCTTCAGCCAGTGCTGAAGTGCATGTCCCCTTCATTTTAATTAAATCAGACAGTATAATATACACAAAATGCTTTTTCCCCCCAGTACTAGGACCTGTCTGACTAGTAATGTCCTTGCTGAGCTACAGAAATCCAGCATGCATTTCTGAATACATAATGCAGGAAGTAAGCTCTGCCTGCTACCAGGAATGATTTAGATTCTAGGAACAATTTTTAACTTTTCATATTCCAACTTGACTCTTCTTATTCACGTACCATGAGTAATGACCATCCAGATGATAAGCAAAATGAGTCGGAATGAGTCTAATTTTGAGCTACAGGCAAAAGAAGTGAAAAATGTCTGTTACGGTCGAATTTGAGGTTTTCACAAAAATGTGAAACTCTTCTAGTTATCCCAAATAGTAATTAAACATCTACAGTGATCTTTATTTGTACGTTTTCTGAGGAGTACCTTTTCTCTTCTCACTTCTGGACGACTGCTGCTTCTCACCACAAGTTGTAAGTTGAGAATATTCATATCAAATTCTCAATGACATGAGTTCAAACCAGTGAAATATGATTTTCAAACCCATGATGATGAGAAAAAAATGATCGCGCTGACTGACATTTGCAAAGCGCGTGCATAAGACGCACCTCTCTGGGAGCGCGCAATCTCCCTAAAAAATGTATTATTGTGACATATGTCTTGGCAAGATTCACACAATCATAATCTGTTATGTCTTACATGAACGTTTAGTTAGTGGTTGTGGAAAAATCTGTTGTGTAACATTATATTAGATCCATGCATTACAGTAGGTCTTAATATAGATCTGTCTCAATGTTAATCAAACATTAAAAGACGGAATCACTCCTGCTCTTGATTAAACTACTGTTTATTGGCGTATTTGTTCTTAATTTTAATAACAAAGATAAAATAAAAAAGCTATATTGTGATTAATAATATAGTAATTATTATTACCAAAAAAAGATGCAATGTTGCTTGGTGATTTTGCTTTGGAATCTTCTGAAAACTTTAACTGGATTTTTCTCAAAATCAGACTCTTTCGCCTTCAAACGGCTGTAGCTTTTTTGTCCGATTCCAACTAGGAATTAGGAACTTGCTCATTCTGACTCATTTTGCCAGCACGGGTCACATATTTAACCTGTTTTATGTTAAAAGTTCGGTGACATTGAAAAAAAAAAGCCATCGACTGACAGTAATTACAACATTTCTAAATATCATAGAAAAGCAAATGTTTGAATCTTTTGTTTTTATAAATTTTAGTATGTGCAGCAGTGGTTGTGATGGCTCCTTTCACTGGAGAAAAAAAAATTTACCTAGTGGAAAGTGCGCTGAAATATAATATATTAAAGCTAATATGAAAGAGAGCACTAAATATTTTACAAGTTGTAAGTTGAGAATATTCATATCAAATTCTCAATGACATGAGTTCAAACCAGTGAAATATGATTTTCAAACCCATGATGATGAGAAAAAAATGATCGCGCTGACTGACATTTGCAAAGCGCGTGCATAAGACGCACCTCTCTGGGAGCGCGCAATCTCCCTAAAAAATGTATTATTGTGACATATGTCTTGGCAAGATTCACACAATCATAATCTGTTATGTCTTACATGAACGTTTAGTTAGTGGTTGTGGAAAAATCTGTTGTGTAACATTATATTAGATCCATGCATTACAGTAGGTCTTAATATAGATCTGTCTCAATGTTAATCAAACATTAAAAGACGGAATCACTCCTGCTCTTGATTAAACTACTGTTTATTGGCGTATTTGTTCTTAATTTTAATAACAAAGATAAAATAAAAAAGCTATATTGTGATTAATAATATAGTAATTATTATTACCAAAAAAAGATGCAATGTTGCTTGGTGATTTTGCTTTGGAATCTTCTGAAAACTTTAACTGGATTTTTCTCAAAATCAGACTCTTTCGCCTTCAAACGGCTGTAGCTTTTTTGTCCGATTCCAACTAGGAATTAGGAACTTGCTCATTCTGACTCATTTTGCCAGCACGGGTCACATATTTAACCTGTTTTATGTTAAAAGTTCGGTGACATTGAAAAAAAAAAGCCATCGACTGACAGTAATTACAACATTTCTAAATATCATAGAAAAGCAAATGTTTGAATCTTTTGTTTTTATAAATTTTAGTATGTGCAGCAGTGGTTGTGATGGCTCCTTTCACTGGAGAAAAAAAAAATTTACCTAGTGGAAAGTGCGCTGAAATATAATATATTAAAGCTAATATGAAAGAGAGCACTAAATATTTTAGCTAAAGCAATTCAAGGACAGGAACAAATAATTTTATGAGCTGAATCTGACTGAGATTCTTACGTTACATCAACTTTGTATGAAAGTAATATTTTCTAGTAAATGACGTGGTGTGGTGAGACCTCTTGACGGTAAATGGCTTATTTTTTGGATGGACAATAAATATTATCCAGGCCACATCAACATGACAAAAAGCTACTGGTTTGTAAGCAGACTGATATCTATTACAGAAATGGCCTTGAATCTGACTGTATCAGCAGTCGGAACATGTTGACCTTCTTGTCTCAGACCATATGCTATGACAGAGACAAAGATCAAGACTGCATTTTTATGATCTTTTGAGGTCTTAACATTCTGTTCTGAACAGAGTTTCAAAAAAAAAAAGACAGACTTTTAAAGAATGTTTAATGGCGGAGAGAGCTTTCTACATGGAATATAACAAGAAGGTGCTCTAAGGTAAATGGTTCAACATGGTCTAAAACAAAAAGCTAGATAACAAAGGCACTACAATTTTTTTAAATGCCTTTATTATTACATGGCTATTCATACAAAAATGATAAGATCTTTTGCGTTTCAGTGTAAGCCTTCCCCAGGAAGCGAAACACAGGTGAGTGTAAGTTTTCCACAGGTGAGAGTAATATAATTTATTTAGTAAATCACATGATAAGCTGTCAGCTGGCATGTGACTCCTTTACATGAGTAGGATGTGCAAATTTACAGTATTCACAAAACAGTAGGCAAAAAGTACCCGGATGACTTACTGCATCCGATGAACACTTTACCCTTACCCATGGGGCCACAGGAGAGGATTTCATAGTTGAGGTATACCTATGATGAAAATTAAAGGCCTCTCTCATCTTTTTAAGTGGGAGAACTTGCACAATTGGTGGCTGACTAAATACTTTTTTTCCCCACTGTATATATATATATATATATATGTCACGAATCCGGTCCATGAACTTCCTTCTGCTAGCCATCAGAGGTCACCCTTTCCGATTTCATTGACTCTCGCACTACACACTGTTGCACATCACCCCATCATATCCCATCATTCATTGCACTGATTGCACTCAGCACGGATTGCACACAGCTGGTAATACTGATTGCACCCAGCTGTTTCATATCACTCCCTCACTATTTAACACTCACTCTGATCCCTTCCCTCTGCCGAGTATTGTTTAGCGCTTATCCTTAGATAGCTACACTACAGAGCCCTCATTAGTTTCCCTGCCTTAGCCTTAGCCTAGTTTTGCCTCACCTTGTCTGTTTTCTCTGGTTTTGATCTTCGCCTGTTTTGCTGGATTCCTCCCTTTAGCCTTGCCCCTGTGACTCTGTCTGCCAATCGTCGACCCACGCTAGCCCTTAGCCTCTTAATACTGTGTTGTTACCAACTGTACTGTTATTGTCGTATTTGTTCATGAGTCCCCTGTTCGTCCTGAACAGCTAAACTGCTGTTCTTCAGAAAAATCCCTCAGGTCCCACACATTCTTTGGTTTTCCAGCATCTTTTGCATATTTGAACCCTTTCCAACAATGACTGTATGATTTTGAGATCCATCTTTTCACACTGAGGACAACTGAGGGACTCATACGCAACTATTACAAAAGTTTCAAAGGCTCACTGATGCTCCAGAAGGAAAAATAGAAAAGAGCCAGGGGTGTAAACTTTTGAACAGAATGAAAATGTGTATTGTTTTTTTTTTTAATTTTGCCTAAATATCTTATTTTTTTCATTTAATTTAGTATTATCCTTTAGAAGCTTCAGAAGATGAAGTCAGATGACAATGAAGGATATCAGTGATACTGCATTAGAATTTGATCAGAAGAAACTACCATTCAAAACAAGCTTTATGACTAGTATATGTATACTATGCCTTTAAATGCATTCTATATTGGCATCCTTCTAGGTTTTAGCAAAAGCACAAATATACATATAT